CCCCGACCCCCAAAGGCGTCGGGAAGCCTGCAGCAGCGGGAGCGGCCTAAGGAAGCGGATCAGCCCGCCGCGCCCTCCACCGCTCACACTGTGTGCGGGTGCGTGTGTGTATTTCTTTATTTCGGTGCGGTCGTTATTAGCGGTGTTTCGCCTGCTCGCTATTCTTGGGCACGCTGGGGCTTTCTCTTTCTCTCCGGCCTCGGAGGGTCTGCGGCGGGCGGCGCTGAGCGCGTTCTCAGCCCAACCCGGCGGAAAGAGTTAAGGGGGCCGGGAGGGGGAGCGCGCGGGGTGGGCGGGAGAAGAGGGGGTGGGGGGAAGCGGCCGAGCGGAAACGCTGCACAGAGGAGCCTCAGCGAACCAAGAAAAAAGAGAAAGTGGCCACGAAAACAAGGGCAAATTGAACCCTCCTCGGGGATTTCCAATGAACTAACCCGACTCGGACATTCAGTAAATACATCGTCCCTAATGAGTGTGCGTGTGCTTGCAGCCCGCACCCGGCCGCGCTGCGCCGGCCCTGCCCGCCGCCCCAGACGCAGACGGGGAGCCGCCGGGGTGCTCGGGGCTGCCCTTCTCCCGCGAATAATTCCTCTCCTGAGCGCAGTTAGGGGTACTCAGAGCCGGAGTTCTCCAGCCCAGTCGCAGACACGCAGCCCTTGCGAGATCTCGAGAGGAACAGTGGGCGCGTAGCATTTGTGTAGGATCTGGTCCAGCTCCTGCGTGCCGGGCGGGGGGCGGGGGAGAGATGCCCTCGTAGGTAGGTTTTAGTGATTCCATTATTGCGAAGGTATAGACCTGAACGGCGGCGGTAACCAAACCCCAGACAGAACGGATTTTTCCCTGTGCGTCCCCCTAAGGTTCCTTTTTATATTTATGTATGCGTATATGTGTATATGAAAGATGGAACACAGATTTCATTGAATAAATCTGAGATCTCCAGGTGCAGACGTTTGAATAGTCGGTGCCAGCACCCCATGTTTTCCTTTCCTGCCGATTTTGCTTGGATTCGGCTCAAAAACCGAGAGAGTCTCGTGGTTTTGTTTACACTGAATGGGGAGGATAGGAACAGAGCCATGGGGCCCCTTTCATTAATATACAGTGAGGATTTTGTCTAAATTACTGCTATGAATTTCACAGTACACGCTTTCAAAAGCAGTCTCAGGTGGCCTGATGAAACGTGATAGCGCTTCTGCTATCCACTTTACACACATCCACTTTCTTTCTTTTCAAGGAGGGTGTGTGTGCGCGTACGGGAAGCCCCCCAAAACGCCTTGCTCCTCGAAATCAGAAATACACTTCTGTTCTGAGCTCTGTCCCCTTCGTCCTCCCCCTTCGCGTACTTAGTTCTCCAGTCGCTCCCCAGCCCCACCCATCCGTCCCCTCCCTTTGCCGAGTGTGATTGTTTTGTCTGGAAAAAAAAAAAATCCAAAGTATATAACAAGGGGAGAACAGTTAGTGCTGATTTTCATTTGCATACATTTTCATATATTTTGGTGAAAATAATAGACTAGTGGAGAGCTGGGCTTAGAGGAGTCGCTGGAAAGGCAAGACTAAGGAAGCACCGCTTCTGGGGAGTTGAGAATATGCCTCCCCCCACCCCAGTCACCTTATTATTATTTTTTTAAATGAAACATCTTCATTTATTTTAAAATCTAACCTTGGAATTTTGCTCGGTAAGTGTTTTTCATTTTCTTTCCCTGCTTTCTCTTTTCTGCCCCTCCTTTCCGGTTTATTTATGCTCTTGTAGGTTTGGGAGCTTGTTTCCAGTGCTTGGGACAAGAGAGGGCAACTGTTTAGAAGGAAGGAAGGGAAAGAAAAGA